GGGAAGGGACTGGAGAGGATGGGTGGAAACAGAGGGATAAGGGGAATAAGGGGCATTACAATTAGCACACATAATGTAGGGGAGGGCACGGGGAAGGCAGTATAGCACAGAGGAAACAAGTAGTGACTCTATAGCATCTTACTATGCTGATGGACAGTGATTGTAATGGGGTATGTGGTGGGGACTTGATAATGGGGGGAATCTAGTAACCACAATGTTGCTCATGTAATTGTATATTAATGATACCAAAATAAAAAAAAATTTTTTTAAAAAGATGTAAAGGATATGACAGCCAAGTGCAATGTGTAGACCTTATATAGACACTGACTCAAACAAATAGTTAAAAATAAAAAACAAAAAATGGCATTTATGAGTCAGTTGAAATTTAAATAACTAAATATTTAAAGTTATGAAAAAACTTTTAATTTTTAATATATATTACTGTGGTTATAACTTTTTATTTAAAGTTCTTTTTTAGAGTTACATACTAAATTACTTATGAATAAAATGATGATATGTGGGTTTTGTTTCATGATAATTCACAAAGGTGGAAATGGGCAAGGGTACACATTAAACAAGGCTGACCATAAATTGAGCACTGTTGAAGCTGAGTAATGGGTATGAGGGTTCGTTACACTAATCTGATTATTTCACAGCTTTCAATAAAGTGATTTTCAAAAATGAGAAGGCAATTTGGCACTATACATGGAAATGCCTCTATTCTTTGATTTAAAAAGTTCATTTCTAGAAATTTATCCCACAAATGTGCCTACAAAACACACATACAAAAATATATATTAGAGTTTGTAAAAATACAACATCTGATAAAACCTAGTTACTCTATTATCATCAACATTTAGTGCTTAGGCTTTCATTTATTATAGACAATAAATATTTTTTGTTTGCTGAATCTCTACCTTTCCAAAATAATTTTGACCATGTCTAACCCAAGGTGATAAGAAAGTACAATTCCCTTCCCATGTAAAATGGTGTTAACAGTCAGATTTGGGACAAATACAAGTTTACTCTCACACTAACATAATGGGGTCATCTATAGAATCTCTGAGAAAAATGCATATATTCTCATTCCCCTTATACAAATATTTAAACACATAATTCCAAACATCATTTCAGGGATTTACAAGATGCCTGAAACCTTGAGGCCCACCCAAGGCCAGACACCACTCATTTTTAAGCTAATGAAATCCCTTTTGGTGACATGAAATATTTATTTGTAGTGTAGATAGCACATATATCAGAAAAGGGAGATATACATAATTCACAGTATTATAAATTTCCAATCTCATGCTATATGGAAAGAACAAAACAGATGTTTTGTTTTTCTATCCAACAAAAAATCTTTCCTAAGGACCTAATAAAATGTACAGATAAGGGTTTTAGCTGTAGTTAACTTAACAAATGCAAAACAAACAGAAATAGGCATTTAATAAGCCTAATATGAAAGCTTTTCAGCCCACCTGATAAAAGTGCTGATAACAGTTGAATAACCTGTTAACTCTACTAAATTCATTCACATGAGGTGTAAGTTTAAACCTAATGCAAAACCTGCAGTTTCTATTAGGAAAAATATGAAGTCTGCTCTTTGGATTCTATATATATAACTGTAAAAAAAAAGTACAGAATTATACCACTATAATTTAAGAGAAAAAATCCAAGTCTATTTTTCACATTAAACGTTTCAAAAGAAAGAACTCCAGGGCTCTCAAGTTTTTCTTTTTTTCTTTAAAGGATTTCATGCACCAGAAGAGTACTTCTCTGACTTGTAAAAGAAGGCATTATGTAACACAGCAGCCCTAGACATAAAATTGCAGGAATTCTCCTTTTCTTCTCCACAGGAACCACTAGGGATTCCCGTCTGTTCTTAATCCTGTCATTCCTCCTCCACTTCATGACTGCAACCACTGCAGCAACTTGGGATACAGACCAGCCACCTCAGGCCCCTGCAGTGGTGGAGAGGGAGCAGCAGGGGTAGGACAGGAGAGGACACATACGGTATGCTCAACCAGGCAACCCTGTCTCCAGATTCCCGTGCTTACCTCAGGAGAGGGAGAAGAAATAGTAATGAAGGAAAATAACCCTGCCACTTCCCCTTTCTCACCACAAATGGCTTAACCTACCGCACATATTCATACATAACCCACCCGAAAATATTCTTCTCACTTTCATATGCAGGGAGAGAAAACTGGGGGGAAAAAAGTTTACGAAGTTAACCATGACCTATCTTCTACTTAACAATTTCCTTCCCTTTTTATTTTACCTAAACCCCAACTCCTTTTCTATCACTCACAGATGACATCAGCAACACATTCCAGTTCTCAACAATCATCTAGCTTGCTGCTTCCATGGGATCCATCAGACTTCATCTCAGCTTATGAAAAAAGGAAGTGGAGTACCCACTCAAAAGCCTTCCACCTAAGAAAATAGCATAAATGAATAAGTAGTCTACGACATACAACACAAAAGGAATAAATGAAGTAGAAAGCATATCCCTGCTTAAGTGAGCTTCTTAGTGAACTTTTTCAAAAGAAGCTGGAAATCCAGATTTTTATGTGTAATCTCTTCATTTTTTTAGTCAACTAGTTCAAACATTTTGTAAGACTTCTATAGACCAAATAAAAGATAATACATCAACTGGATGAGATGAATAGGCCCAAAAACCTCATTTGTGAGCTTTTAATCTAGAATCTCTAGAGACTTAAGAGAGGTCACAGCTTCCCTTACCACTATTCCATGCCTCCTCTTCTGAACACTACACTCTCAACCCTAGGCCAAGATACCCACCACAGAGGAGATGGCTGACTCTTGCTGGGAGGCAGAAAGAGAGGAAGTTCCTCTTTTAGTTCCAACTTTAGCTGGATTTAGGTTAAAGTTTTGCTTCTGACATTCTAAAAACTGAAGTTCTAAATGCCCCTTCTCTCAGAAACAGTTACACATAACTGCTACCTTTGATACTTCTATTCTTCATGTATGGTATAAGTAAAAAAGGTTTTTGTTAGCTAGTTTGGGAAAGTTACCTATCAAATATCACAATTTGTCTATAGGAAAACTGCAACTGCAATTCCAAAATAAACACATGTATAAATAAACCTTTGGAACACTACCATTTGTAAAATGAAGGGTTTCTAAATTCTAATATCACTGTTGAATTTAAAGACTTGCTCAATGGTCATAGGTGACTGAAAAGCATAAAAACATTTAAAGGAAATTACAAAGGCACATCAAAAAATACATTCAAAATAAGTTTCAGAGATAAGTCCATGTAAATATACTGGTACACATTTTGCCTCATGACATAAAAGGGCCCTACAGTGATAGCAACCAAATCGAAAATTTTAATGCTTTCCTTTTCAGTTCTCACCACAAACCCTTTGCCTCCTTTCCCAGGCTTCCCATATGATGTCATGAAAATTACAAAAGTTTAACAAAAGTTACCTAAAAAAGGGAAAATATTTTTTAAAGCAATATGGAACAACAATACAAAGGCACACTGGTGGGTCAATAAGGTGTTAAGATTTGCTTCTATATAGGTTAGTGTGCCACATCACTAAGAAAAACAAACATATGCAGGTTCTTTTCTGGAAAAGGAGCTTATCTGACTGCTGGTATGCAGAGAGAATTTTTTTGCAAAACAGCAGGAGCACCACTCTCAAACTGCAATGAGAGGCTTGAAATTACCCTAAACTTAGTAATTTTTTAAATGTAGAAAAATGTTCATGTCTAGAAAAATTTAGTAAGTATAATAATGATCGAGTAAAATTACACTAAAAACAAAAACAAAACCAAGAAACTGTAAAACCAGGCTAAGAAATGTCAAAATTCATGAAGTCAAAGTAAGTGCTAAAGTCTCCAGCTGATTTCCTTCTGAAATATATTTTGTGTGAATCTATTACCAGACAGGCACAAGGAGATACAAGCAACCAAAAGTCTGGGGTCTCAATACCAAAATATTCTGGAGTGGATTTTTTATGCTTTTGTTTGAAGTCTACTATTGGTAACAGTTCATCCCCAATCTCCTCAATCAATAAAGTTAGTCTTCTGTTTATATCATCAAAACATGGTTTATATAAGAAAAATCTGTCAGTTGTTATTCAAAAGCCTGACTGATTACTTTTGGAAAAACTATTCTTTAAAAACGATTTTGCTTATGTATTCTGTTTTTTACTCCATACCTCTCTAAAACTTGAAGACTGAATCTTTGTTCCTCAGCATTAAATGCTTACTCATTATTTGTGTTACAATTTTCTCTTTATAAGCAACAGAAGAAAAGAGTAAGCAGAAGACAATGTAAAACAGTAGAATAAACACATCTGAATGGAATTAACCTTCATAAACTTAAACCCAATTAGTACGAAATAATTTAAAGGACAGAACACATTACTTTTCTAGGTATAGCATCAAGTCTTCATATTTGACCATGAATGACCAAATACAAAACTTTCAAGGGGAGAGGACAGGAGAAATAAGTGGTTGGATTTGTATTTTTTTTTAAGTATGAAGGCACAAATTTGATGGTTTCTACTGAAGTTGGCATTTTTCATTTTATAATATTCTCAGAAAAAGCACTGCAAGGAAAAAGCAAATTATTGATATAATGGGTATCTTGTGATTTGTTGAAAAGAGCCAACGGTTGGTGAACATAGGTAAGATGGCTGAGTAAGCATTAGACTGTAAATCTGAACATTACATGGCATTAGAAGGGATGATTTTTTCCCCCTCTTTACAACTTTCTCTTATTTCCATGACTTCTATAATAGGAATATATTACTTTTGAAATAGTAAAAACTCTAATTTCAAAGTCTTTCTGTTAGGTAATATAAAGTCAATGTGCTACAAGAAAAGCACTTTACAAACTTACATTTTCATTTTTTTAATTGATAAGGAAACTTCATGAAAGTTTACAGATTTGTTCTTGAGCAAAATAATAGTAGTAGTAATAATAATAATAATAGTAAAAATAATAATAATAATAATAATTTCACCTGTTCCCTTCCGTGCAAGTTCCATACTCCACTGGGGTTTTGTGGTAGGTGCCCCGTCACAGCCTGGTATGTGCTGGGGTATTAAAGCAGATCGGGAGCTTAATGGCCGATATTTAGAGAGCCCTAAAATGCCAAATTAGAGGGAAAAGATGATTTCCTTGTTTTCTGAAAGAAGAAAAAAGCCTAATAATATAGGTTTAGTAAGTTAATCTTAAAACCAGAAGCAGTTCAAAGGTAAAATTCTAATAATAAAAAGAACACTATTTTTAAAATTACTGAAGATACCATTTAAACTTTGTCATGGTTCCCATATGCTTAAGTCTGAAAACATAGACATTTAAGATAGACAGTGTATTCAATTGCTTGCTGTACATCTAAGTTGGATTCCATATTCTGAGGCAGAAACCATGTCACTTTTTATTATATATGTGGAACTTTACACATAGTAAACTGCCTATTTCCCCCAAAATTTGCTAATAAAAGTCCATTGTAACATTTACTGAAAAAAATAGATTACAAAAATTTACGGGTTATAGAAGATATTTAAAGCAGTAAATGTTATAATGGTATATTGTGAACAACATTTTAGTAGGTATCAGGAGACCCAAGTTCTGATTCTAAATTACCAACATATTAGATATAAAATGTAGATAGAACATTTATCTCTTTGTGTGCCAATTCCTTTATTTGTCACATGGAAAAGATTTGGGTCTCTCAGATTTGAGTCTAGCCTTGATTTAGCTATTACTCAGATGTGTCATTCAGGGCAAGTCATTCAACATTTCTCTGTAAAAGTTCACTGATCTATAAAATGTATAGAGTGACAAATAATTGTTAATACCTCTTACAATTATAAGAGCCAAAGACCTCATGACCTATCAGTTTTCAAATATATCATACTCTTATATTTTACCTGAAACCAGGTCTCAAATTCTACTACATCATTATAGATTACTAGATAGTAAAAAGCAAATTAGGGCCACTAACTAAAATTAAACAAAAGGAGACCAAGTAGTTAAGGGGGACTGTACACAAATGTAATATGTTTTAAAAAAACACAAAGGAAGAAAATAAAAAACCTTCAAATGTAAAGATCATAAAACACAACCAGTGTGGGTTATGAACGAAAAGAAACAGTAACAGTATAATAGTCATACTCATAATAAAATAAATGTATTATAAACTTTAATTATCATTTTATAGTTAATATTTTTAAGTTTCTACACTGATGACAATAAAATAGTATACTATGACATATAAAAAAATGATAAATGAAAACTGATGAATTATAGCCTATGTATGAACATATGGATGAAATCTAGAAGCATAATGTTGAGAGAACAAAGTCAGTCCTGAGTTATTAAACCATTTTCATAAAGTTCAAAAATCAAGTGTAAGTAAACAAACAGACCATATACCTGTGTGGTATGCTATAAAGAAAAGCAACAGAATGATTAAGAGAAAGAAAAAGAAAATTCAAGACACTATATACTCATAGTTAATGCAGATGAGCATAACTGGGGAAGAAGCACAGATGGAACGGCCACTGAATGGAGTATGTTAAGACTATATATTATATTCTAATGTATCATCTACACAGTAAGGTAGGTGACAGGTTCATATATATTTGTTTTATTTCTTTGTTTATATATATGTAAATACTCATTTATATATTTCACAACTTATGTAGAAGTTATGTCAAAGCTTTATTCCTAGAAATTAAAAAATGCTGAAGACCTAAACAAGGTGCAATCACTTCCAAAAGCATTATGGCAAAATGTATCAAGACATAAAAATCTTCTGAAGATAAATATATTATGGCTAAAATTAATCTTTTTACCAACAGTGTATTTCTTGGGAATTTATCCTAAGAACATAATCAGACAAAAAAAAAAGCTTTTTATGTATGTAATTTACTGCAAAATTACCTGTAATAAAAAAATAAATAAATCAGAAACAACCTAAATATTTACCAATGGGGAAATAATAAAGTAAATTAGAATATATCAACTCGATATTGCCTCAGGAAATATCTTCAAAAGGGAAGATTATGATGTTTGAGAGAGGCTTGCAAAAATCTATTATATAGGATGGGATTAAAGATGGCGGCAGGAAAGGTGAGACAGAAACCTCTTCCCAAAAACACATATCATATGAAAATATAGTTAATATAACTAATCCTAAAAGAGCAACAGGAAAGAAGGCTGAACCAGACTGCATATGACTGGAGAACAGAGCAGACCTCACAAAACAGGGTAACATACCAAACTGTGATCCAGCAGGACCCAAGCCCTTCCCCCACCCCAGCTCACCCGGCGGGAGGAAGAGAAATGAAGTAGGGAGGGGGTGGAAGCCTAGTTCTGAACACAGAGCCCTGGAGATCTGCTCTGGGAGCACAAACATACACTGCATGGTGCTCCAGAGATGACTAGAGTTGGAGAGCTAAGACAGGCAGAATATTTGGAGAGACTGAGATTCTAGCCACTAGTGGAAAACAGGGATCCACATCCAGTTGCCGTACAACAAAAGAAAGGCGGGCAGTCAGAGACTAAAGGAGCAAGTATTGCACAGAGCTGGCTGATCAGGAGAAAGGACAGGTGGACAAAATTGTCCAGGCATGCTCTACCCAGCAGGTTGAGAACTTTCAGGAGCTTCATGTGCTATACCTCCCTGGATGGTTACACAGCTCCGAGGTTCCCCACGGTGATATGCAGCCTGCTGCACCTTCCTCCTGGACTGCCAGCAACTAGCTTGCAAACCAGCAGTCCCTGCCCTAGCAACCGGCCACCAGAGCAAAGCCCCGCCTACAGCAGCTACAAATGCAAAGCACAGAGCCTTACACCTGTGCGCTTGGCCCACTCGTTCTGACAGTGGAGGCAGGCACTGCAGTCAGGAAGCAGGAAACAGCTCTTTCCTGCCCCAGGCACCAGCACTGCTCCTGCATGACCCCCAACATCACTCCAGGGGCTGAACAGCTTCAGACAGTAGAGCTTCTGGGAACTAGAGGGTGCTACATACAAATATGAAACATCAAAGGAACCCAGTTCAAACCAAAAATTCACAAACACCAGAAAAAGGGACAGGTGAAACTGAGCTCATCAATCTTCCTGGAAGAGATTTCAAAATAAAAATCATAAACATGCTCGTGGGGGTACAGAAAAATATTCAAGAACTCAGGGATGAATTTAGGACAAAAATTCAACTATTAAGAAATTCTGTATGTGAAATTAAACATAAAAGGGACAGATTTAAAAGATTAGGTGAAGTTAAAAGAGACAGTAAATGGAATAGAAATTAGAGAAGAAGAATACAAAGAAGCTGAAGCAAAGAGAGAAAAAACGATCTCTAGGAATGCAAGAATATTGAGAGAACTGTGTAACAAAACCAAACGGAAAGATATTCACATTATATGGGTACCAGGAGAAGAGACACAAAAAGGGATAGAAAGTGTCTTTGAGGACGTAGTGGCTGAAAACTTCCCAATCTGAAGAAGGAGATAGTCTCTCAGGCCATGGAGGTACACAGATCTCCCAACACAAAGGATCCAAGGAAGAAAACACCAAGACATATAATAATTCAAATGGCAAAGATCAAGGATAAGGACAGATTTTTGAAAGCAGTTGGAGAGAGAAAAAAGATCACATAGAAAGGAAAACCCATCAGGCTATCGTGAGATTTCTCAACAGAAACCTTACAGGCCCACAAGGGAGTAGAAGATATATTCAATGCAATGAAGCAGAAGGGATTCGAACCAAGAATACTCTACCCAGCAAGATGATCATTTAAATTTGAAGGAGGAATTAAACAATTTCAAGATAAGCAAAAGCAAATTCCAGGGAGAATTTACCTCCCACAAACTGTCTCTACAGTGTACTTTGGGGAGACTGCTATAGATGCAACTGTTCCTAAGTCTAAATAGCTGTCACCAGAGGAAATAAAACCACAGTAAAGAACATAGAACAATTAATTACTAAGCAGATGCAAAGGCAAAACAACTACTCCCAAAGTCAGTCAAAGCATAGACAAAGAGTACAGAATATGAAACCTAATATATAAAGAATGAAGGAGGAAGAAAAAGGAGGGAAAAAAAGAAAAAGAATCTTTAGATTGCATTTGTAATAGTATATTAAGTAAGTTTAATTAGACGGTTAGACAGTAAGGAACTTACCCTTTTACCTTTTGTAACCACAAATCTAAAGCCTGCAATGGCAATATGTAAATATTTACTGATAATCACCCTAAATGTAAATTGCCTGAATGCACCAATCAAGACATAAAATCACTGAATGGATAAAAAAAAAGACCCGTCAATATGCTGCCTATAAGAGACTCACTACAAACCCAAAGATATACACAACTAAAAGTGAAGAGAAGGAAAAAGATATTTCATGCAACTAAGAGGGAGAAAAAAGCAGGAGTTGCAGTACTTGTATCATACAAAATAGACTTCAAAACAAAGAAAGTAACAAGAGATAAAGAAGGACATTACATAATGATAAAGTGGTCAGTCCAACAAGAGTATATAACCATTACAAATATCTATGCACCCAACAAAGGACCAACTACACATGTGAAACAAATACTAACAGAATTGAAGGGGGAAATAGAATGAAATGCATTCATTTTAGGAGACTTCAACACACCACTCACTCCAAAGGACAGATGAACCAGACGGAAAATAAGTAAAGAGACAGAAGCACTGAACAACACATTAGAACAGATGGACCTGACAGACATCTGCAGAACACTCCATCCAGAAGCAACAGGATATGCATTCTTCTCAAGTGCATATGGATCATTTTCAAGAATAGATCATCTATTAGGCCACAAAAGGAGCCTCAGTAACTTCAAAAAGATTGAAATTGTACTAACCAGTTTCTCAGACCACAAAGGTATGAAACGAGAAATAAATTATGCAAAGAAAATGAAAAACCCCAAAAACACATGGAGGCTTAACAACATGTTTCTAAATAATCAATGGATCAATGACCAAATAAAAACAGAGATCAAGCAATATATGGAGACAAATGACAACAATAATTCAACACTGCAAAATCTGTGGGGCTTAGCAAAGGCTGTGCTAAGAGGGAAATATATTGCAATACAAGCCTGCCTCAGGAAAGAATAACAATCTCATATGAACAGTCTAACCTCACAATTAATGGAACTAGAAAAAGAAGAACAAAAGAGGCCCAAAGTCAGGAGAAAGAGGGACATAATAAAGATTAGAGCAGAAATAAATAAAATCAAGAAGAATAAAACAATAGAAAGAATCAATGAGAGCAGGAGCTGGTTCTTCAAGAAAATAAACAAAATCGATGAACCCCTAGCCAGACTTATCAAGAAAAAAGGAGAGTCTACACCCATAAACAGAATCAGAAATGAGAAAGGAAAAATCACAAAGGATACCACAGAAATACAAAGAATTGAGAGAAAACTATGAAAAACGATATGCTAACAAACAGGGTAACCTGGAAGAAATGGACAACTTTCTAGAAAAATAACAACCTTCCAAGGCTGACCAAGGAAGAAACAGAAAATCTGAACAGACCAATTACCAGCAATGAAATTGAACTGGTAATCAAAAAACTACCTAAGAACAAAACACCTGACTAGAAGGCTTCACTGCTGAATTTTATCAAATATTTAGTGAAGACCTAATACCCATCCTCCTTAAGGTTTTCCAAAAAGTCGAAGAGGAGGGAATACTTTCAAACTCATTCTACGAGGCCAGCATCACTCTAATACCAAAACTAGGCAAAGACACCACAAAACAAGAAAATTACAGACCAATATACCTGATGAACATAGATGCAAAAATACTCAACAAAATATTAGCAAACTGAATTTAAAAATACATCACAAAGAACATCCATCATGATCAAGAAGGATTTATTCCAGGGATGTAGGGATGGTACAGTATTAGAAAATCCATCAACATCATCCACCACTTCAACAAAACTAAGGACAAAAACCACAAGATCATGTCCATAGATGCTGAAAAAGCATTCAACAAAATTCAACATCCATTCATGATAAAACTCTCAATAAAATGGATAAAGAGGGCAAGTACCTCAACACAATAAAGGCCATATTTCACAAACCCAAAGTTAACATCATACTTAAGAGCAAGAAGCTGAAAGCTTTTCCTTTAAGATAGGGAACAAGACAAGGATGCCCACTTTCCCCACTGTTATTCAACATAGTTCTGGAGATCCTAGCTACGACAATCAGACAACACAAAGAAATAAAAGGCATCCAGACTGGCAAGGAAGGAAGAAGTTAAACTGTTACTGTTTGCAGATGACATGATATTGTACATAAAAATCCCTAAAGAATCTACTCCAAAACTACTAGATCTAACATCTGAATTCAGTAAACTTTCAGGATACAAGATTAATACATGGAAACCGGCTGCATTCCTATACACTAATGATAAACTAGCAGAAAGAGACATCAGGAAAACAATTCCATTCAGAATAGCATCAAAAAGAATAAAATACCTAGGAATAAACCTAACCAAGGAAGTAAAAAACCTATACCCTGAAACCTACAAGACACTCTTAAGAGAAATTAAAGAGGTCACTAACAAATGGGAACTCATCCCATGCTCCTGGCTGGGAAGAATTAATATCGTCAAAATGGCCATCCTGCCCAAAGCAATATACAGATTCAATGCAATCCCTATCAAATTACCAACAGCATTCTTCAATGAACTGGAACAAATAGTTCTAAAATTCATATGGAACCATAAATGACCCCGAATAGCCAATGCAATCCTGAGAAGGAAAAATAAAGCCAGGGAGATTAAGCTCCCAACTTCAAGCTCTACTACAAAGCCACAGTAATCAAGATAATAGGTACTGGCACAAGAACAGACCCACAGACCAATGGAACAGACTAGAGAGCTCAGATATAAACCCAACCATATATGGTCAATTAATATATGATAAAGGAGCCATAGACATACAATGGGGAAATGACAGCCTCTTCAACAGCTGTAAAGTAGCAAAACTGGACAGCTACACGCAAGAGAATGAAACTGGATTATTGTCTAACCCCATACACAAAAGTGATCTCGAGATGGATCAAAGACCTGAATGTAAGTCATGAAACCATAAAACCCTTAGAAGAAAACAAAGGCAATAATCTCCTGAATATAAACATGAGCAACTTTTTCCTGAACACATCTCCTCAGGCAAGGGATACAATAGCGAAAATGAACAAATGGGACTACATCAAGCTACAAAGCTTCTTTACAGCAAAGGACACGATCAGCAGAACAAAAAGGCATCCTATAGTTTGGAAGAATATATTTGTAAATGACATATCCAACAAGGGGTTAACATCCAAAATATATAAGAACTCATATGCCTCAACAACCAAAAGGCAAACAATCCAATTAAAAAATAGGTGGAGGTTATGAATAGACAATTCTCCAAAAAAGAAATTCAGATGGCCAACAGGCACATGAAAAGATGTTCCACATCACTAATTATCAGGGAAATGCAAATTAAAACCATAATGAGATATCACCTCACACCAGGTTAGGATAACCAGCATCGAAAAAACTAGGAACAACAAATGCTGGCTAGGATGCAGACAAAGGAGAACCCTCTTACACTGCTGGTGGGAATGTAAACTAGTTCAACCATTGTGGAAAGCAATATGGAGGTTCCTAAAAAAATCTAAAAATAGAAATACCATTTGACCCTGGAATTCCACTCTTAGGAATTTACCCAAAGAATACAACTTCACAGATTCAAAAAGACATATGCACCCCTATATTTATTGCAGCACTATGTACAAGAGCCAAGATATGGAAGCAATCAAAGTGTCCATCAGTAGATGAAAAGATAAAGAAGATGTGGTACATACACACAATGGATTACTATTCAGCCATAAGAAACAAATCCTACCATTTGCAACAACATGGATGGAGCTAGAGGGTATTATGCTTAGTGAAATGTCAGGCAAAGAAAGACAAATACCAGATGATTTCCCTCATTTGTGGAATATAACAATGAAGCAAAACTGAAGGAAGAAAATAGCACCAGACTCACAGACTCCAAGAAGGAACTAGTGGTTACCAAAGGAGAAGGGTGGAGAGGGAGGGAGAAAGGGATTGGAGGGAATCATGATTAGTGCATAAGGTATGTGTGGGGTCATGGGGAAGACACTGTAGCACAGAGAAGACAAGTAGCGACTCTGTGGCATCCTACTACACTGATGGACATTGACTGCAGTGGAGTATGGCGGGGACTCGATAATAAGGGTGAATGTAGTAAGCACATTGTTTTTCTTGTGAAACTGTCAGAAGAGTGTATATCAATGATACCTTAATAAAAAAGTAAAATAAAGTAAAAAATAAAACATGCCTACTTAACTTACACACACACAAAAAGCTATTATATAATATTACATGGAATAGACAGGCCCAAAGAGAAAGCAGTTGTATTATGAGAAGTATTAACTTTAGTCAAAAAATTATAAATATAATAATGGTTACATTACTGAAATACCAGAGCTAGTATTTTATTTGGAGGTTAAGCCTACTAAAAAAAAACAAAGGAGTGGAGGGAGAGAAAGAAATTAAAACTATTGGAAGGAATCTGAAGAATGGATTTCAAAATACAGAAATATGCCACACATTTTTAAAGAACCAAAATACAATAGAAAATCAAAAGAAACACATTTTTTATTTATTCTTTTTGCTGATATGTGTTATCTGATACAATCTAATATTTTACACCAGTTACCTTTAAACTTTATAGTTGTTCACGTGAAAATAAAGCAACAGACTTTAAAATAGTAGTATCATGTGAACTCTGTCATCCAGTGATACAGTAAACTATTATTACCTGGAGTTGATGGCCTTTCAAGCATGTTTAGATGATGGGAAATGAATGCCTGGCTATCATGAACAGTATCCATATCAATCTCCTCCTCATCTTGAGAATTTGAAAACTAAAACACATACACAGAAAACACAGGAGAAAGAGAGCCATTATATCACTTTGCATTTAGATCTTCCCTGTTAGATAAGGTAGTAGAGAGGCCACAGTATATACCCCTAAACAATTTTAAGAGGAAAAATAGTTTTTTTTTCTCAAAAAGAATTAAGAGAAAGAAAAGAGTATGTGGTACAGCCTCCAAAAGAAGCTGATTAGAAATTACTGGAAATGTAATAGCAACTAAAATCTATTCCTGTATTGTGGGAAGTAGTAGTACGCTGTGGTAGATGGTACACACATAGTTCTCCCCTGAACAGAGAAGAAGTATGTGATAATAGACATTAACCAATTGGAATGTCTTAGATGGACATTTAAGTTCTTTTATGATTCAGTCTGTCCCATCTGTTCCTGCTAAGGTAAAACCATTGGAAGTATTCAAAAAGATTTACAAGAAGGTGAATGTCCTACACTGTTAATACAGGTTTAACCTGTATTTCTTACTCTGATTTTGAGTTTGACTTTACTGCTATCCTCATTCTTCTCCAGTATTTGACCAGGTTCTAGTGGGAACCCCAGTGGTGTATCAGCCTTCCTCTTCACTCCCTGCTGATGAGCTGATATATTACATGATGCTTCCTTGGCAAGGTGATCATCTTCCTGTGGCAATATTCAAGATCAAAATTAGATTTCTGAAGACAAGCTCATACTATAACTGAAAACTAATAGCTACAGCAATCATGCAGATTAGAGCATGCCCAGTGCCTAAAAGTTATCAGCATTGGGCTTAAATAAATTTCACGTTTTCCTGTCTACTAGTCTTTTTTTGGAGAAAAGGTAGATATTTAAGTGAACTTTAAGAGCTTTCCTAAAAGAATATATTTTTTTGGTGTCATTTTCTCCTCTTATCCTTAAGACTGTAAGTATGAATGTAGATAAATTAACATATATGGGTAATATTTATAAACAGTTTCATTTCCACAGGTTTATAAATATTCAGATCTGAAAAAGCTCTTTAATGAGACTTGTTTTCTATGAAAAGAATTGTCTTACACCTTCATAACTCAACTCTAGGACACATTTTAAATTTATAAGTATATTTTTTCAGAAAATCTAGGGAACAAATAATTTTAAATGATTATTACTAACTATCATAGAGAGAATCTGAATTTTAAAGTATTAAAACACCAGTAGGGAACTGCGAGGCAAGTAATCTGGTCTAAATATTGGTGAAAAATAGAGCTTGATGTATTAGGAACATTTCATCAATAGGAAAACATTTCTGGAAAACTTTCTCTGAATCACAGTAAAATGACTGATATGTATCACAAAGGTCTTTTTATTAAAAGTCTGGTAGTTTTATTAATGCATAGCCAGAAATAAAACCTTTTTGAAAGGCAAACACATGTAAGTGTAATGCATAACCTCCTCCCAAATCAGCAGATTACTCATTTACCTGATGATTCATTGTTATTCATTCATTCATTCAATTCCACAAGCATTTTCCAGGCACTTAATATGTTTAGAACTGCACCAGGTATTATACAGAGTATAATAAAAAGAGTAGCCAAAGAAAGCCAGAGTCCCTGTGTTCAAACAACTTGCCATTACTATGTAAGGACAAGGCAGTGTAATATGAAATAAGTTAAATATTCCCTTCAGTTTTCTACTACTTGAAGGAATTCTCTCCAAGTACAAAAAATCACTAAGTCATCACCAAAGGAGTAAATGGACTGACAGTCCATCACTATTACATGCCACAATGTAGTTGTCAGTGGCACTTTATTACTGTTAAGTGCTAAACTAACATCAGCCAGCAGTTTTTAAAATGATACAAGACACTGTTAGTGGCTTTCAACCTTGCCAGTTCAAAGAAAGTAATTCTCTTCTCTAGAAACCTCTATATGATAAAATAAAACTACACCTTCTGTAATAACATGTGATTCTTACAGGATTCTGAAATCCAACTAGCTGTATGTGACCACTTGGATTAAGCACAGCTTCTTGGTTGCCTGCTGTGGCCTCTGGAATTATGGTCGGATTCAAGACAGCTTTTTTCTCCTTCAGATTAAGAACCAACCCAAGCTCTGGCAAGGGTAAGCAGGAAGGTCTACTGAGGCCAAAAAGCGTGAAGTACAAGTCCACAGCACCACACCGTAACCTCCAGTCGTGTGAAGTACCTAAGAAATAAATAATCAAGAAATAAAAATCAATATGCACAATATACACTGTTAACTGTTCCAGAACCTGTACAGAGAGAAGGGATGAAAGGATGCCTAAAAGGAGCCATCTCTTCCAGCATATATGCTGCTGAAGCACACACGAATGAGGCATCTACTAACCTAGGGCCCACTGGCAAACCCTCTAAGAGGTGCCTTATCTCAGCAGATACTTACAAATTCTTATAGAAACAAAAAATGTTAGTGATTGGAAAACATTAAACATTTTATTATCATGCCATTCTTCCTACAAAATGAAAATTAGATATTCGTTGAAAATCTAATATTCCAAAAGGTGTATTTTTTATATCTTCCTTTCAATTCCTCCTCCTCAGTAACTATTCCACATTCATTCATTCTCTGTTCATCTTGTCTGACTTTCTTCTGTAATAGCCTGTTTTGAAGACGGCACTCTATGAGCCTTCATGAACCCTAGCATGTAAAACGAATTATCCTAGCTTTCAAATTTATTATGCTCAGGTTTGAAATATAAGAAATCCTACAACTATATGAAATAGCTCATTTATAAACTTTAACTTACTGTATAGGAGGAAAATATTTTGCAAAAAAACACTTTTATATTTGTGTTGTTCTACCAGGTATTTGTTTAAAGAAAAATTAACAAAAAATAAGCAAACCCCAGAGATGGCAACATGTAATAAAATATGTATTGACAAGAAGACTGCTATGCAGAAATTAAATTTCAAGAAGATGAGAGACCAAAAGCAAGTTCTATCAATTTCTCTGAGACTCAGATTTTTCATTTCTAAAATAAGGTTTCTGGTCTCAGATTTTACCTTACCCCATAACAGTGACAGACTAGAGCACACTGATACCACAGTTCTTTCTCACTTCCCTTTTCTTCCCCAACCAGAGCACTCCAGGCAGATACTGCATCAAAGAGACCTGACAGATGAAATTTGTCATTAACGGTTATGTAATTTCCATGGTTTATTGGTGGACTTTAAAACAATCTAGAGAATTTAAAGCAAATGAGAGGAAGAAATACGTAAATTCTTCTAGATAAGAAATATAAACCCCTTAATACTTAATTTTGACCAAGAAGTCTGGTTTCAAAAGAGTACCATGTTTGAAGAGGAGAAACAGAAAGGAAAGAAGTTACAACTTTTGGACAGCATAAACATTAAGCTTTGTGGTTTTCAACAACAAATGTTAGAGTTAGGTAAATAAATTGTGATAAAATAGTGATTATGAAGAGATTTACTCTAACAGCTAAGTAAACATATTAATTACATACAAAGGAAATCATGTGGGAAGAATTACCATTTTACAGTTTGCATTATGTAGTACCTCATTCTAGGCACCTTGTATACTACATGCTGTCGAACAGCTATTATCAATCTTACTAAGACATATTCATTGTTGCTACGTGTGATAAAGTAAGAGAAACGTGATGCTGTTAAATGCAAGAGAAGGAGGCAGGGGCTCTTCAGGAGGATGAGGCTTTTGTCATAAAAACTATAGAGAAACTAGAAATGGGAAGAACAGTACAAAGTGAGAGGATTTCAAACTGGAAATCCACTTTCTTCTCAGGAATATAATAGCTTGACATTGCTTAATTTTTCGTTAAGTGTTACATTATTCTTCTCAAAGCATTTATATACACGTAAAGGTTCCATAAAGGACAGCTATCAGATTCCTGGGCCTTTTATTACAAAGGCTGGAGGGTTCAACCCTCTGAGGGAAGAGAGGGAACCCTGCCCTAGCCCTGTAAATCAATCATGGGTGTACCAAGAAAAGGAGTGAATCTTAGGCATTTTATCAGTAAGGAAAACTAGAACAGTTTAGGGTATATATACCCTAGAGTAAAACTAAACCTTGAAGAAAAGTATCACCTAATTATGTCTGCTGCAAACAACCATCCTGAACCTTCAAATGCTGTAGGTCACTTCAAAACCAGTCAGGCAAATGAGTGTGAATTCCTGAAAGTTTTTTTTGAAAAATTACTATTTTAATATAAAAAAGAAAATGGAAAATTATATATTTTGATGAGCCAGAGTGTTCTTTTTCATTTTTTGAAAAACAGCTTAAGGATGATTAGGCCAGCTCCTACTGTGCTCAACTGCTAAATGCACTGAGTCATTTTCTATTTATTATTTCTATTTAAATAGAATTACTTTCTATTTCTATATGGGCTTTGGTTTGTTGAAGATTTTGGCAGACCTCCAATTTGGATGGAAGATGGAACATTATTGTTTTATTCCTGAAGGAAGTTCTTGCTTGTGTTTGTTTTTCCTCAAAAAATTGACTTGAAAATATCAAAATTCAGAGCTGATAGGAGGGACCTAAAAAATGAATAGCAGTGCTTCTGTTAAAATTAAAAAAGAGAAAAAAATTAGAACTCCATTATACTTCAAAATCATAGAATAAAATCTTATTGTATTATTATAGTGGGATTAAATTGATCAGAATAGTGGGAAAAGGCACTTCTGCTCTATTTCAAGTTATCCCTGTAATCTTGGGAGAGCCAGCTGCCTGGGCACTAAAATGAGAAAAATTAACTTAGATACCCTCAGGTCTAAAATTTTACTATGACAAATTAATCAATTCCACTAGAGAGAGGCAGTGGAACAGCTGCTGAAATCTGCCTTCAGTTACCACGTTTTAAGACCCTTCTTTAATCTTCTAGGTACCCCTCCCATGCCAACCACTTAAATGGCAAGAAATGTTCATATGGGAAAAACAAGTCATTATTCTCTCCTCTTAGGCGAAAATGCTGTCTGTTCTGCCCTCTGTACTTAATACTCTGAGGCCAACCACACTTACTTGAATCCGAAGAATACTCAAGGAGGAAGTACGAACCCAGTATTGATGGTCTCTATTCAAATCATTAAGTATCCAAAGACAAACCCCGAAAATAGCACATCAAATCAAAAAAAAGATCATTACTTCATTTTCTGAAATAATTGCTATGAAAGCTGATCAAGCCAAAAAGCTGCTAAGAGGAAGAAAGCTCACTTTGAAAGCCACTGTTGTCAGGACATTTTTCAATAAACCTAGCATGCCTGATGACAGAGGCTTGGAAGCTTGGAAATTTCCAGTCAGACCAGATCAATACAATTGCCACAGGGTATAGTTCTGCACTGTTCTTTCTGTCCATCTTACACTAAGTAAAAAGAGCAAATTTATTTTCTTACTCTGAAACCTGGCAAATCCTACCAAACTGAATCAGAAGTTGTCCCTTATTCTACCCCTTAGCATGTACCTGTCAACTTCCAAACACTAAATATTATGATGTAAACAGCCTTCAATGTCCTAAACAATTACATAAATGTTTCTATGTCATTCTTATAGTAATTTGCCAAACACGGAAGCACAGCTTAGGAACACTGGTTAGATATTCTTTTATAATGCTACCTCTTCATCAATGAAGGTCCGTACCTTAAGAAATGAAAAACATTGCTAAGCTGACAAGACCAGAGCAAGTACTTACAAGCAAAATATTAGCACTAATAAAAATTTCCAATTCTGACATTTCCATCTTTTTAATTACTGTCTTGTTGGTCTACAGTCCAGTAACTCACCTAAAGCTATAAAAGGTAGGATCTCATATGTTCTGAATTTTGAAACATTTTTCTTTGTGAAAGGAAACCAACTTTTCAATAAGAAAAAAAAAATTCGAGGAGCCAAGATGGTGGTGTGAGTAGGGCAATGGAAATCTCCTCCCAAAACCATACATATTTTTGAAAATACAATACAACTATTCCTAAAGAGAGACCAGTGGATACAGAACAACAGCCAGGCTACATCTACTTCTTTGAGAACTCAGCATCTCACGAAGGGGGGAAAGATACAAGCCGCGGCCTGGCAGAACGGGAGGGCTATCCCCACCCCAGCTCCCCGGCTGAAGGAGTTGGAGCAGGGAGTGAGTGAAAGCCTAGGACTGCAAAACAACCAGCTCTAGCAATCCTCACTGGGAGGGCAGACATATGGTGCACAGGGTGCTGGGTATTAGAGAAATGGAAAATCAGAATCTGCAAGCAAGTCCCCGCCCCGCAACCAGCTAACTTGGGACAAAAGAAAAGTGAGGGCTTTCTGAAAGTCTTAAAGGGACAGGAGCCTAACAGCTAGACAGAAGTGTCCCAGCACATTCAGCCCAGCAGGAGGAACATCAGGCACCTCAGACCCCTGGATGGCAACGCAGCCCTGAAGCCCCTCACGGTGATAAGGAGACTACCACTCATTCCCATGGCCGGCACGGCCCCTGAAACAGCAGCCCAGTAGCTGGAGAGTGGCCATGTACGCCAGTGGCGGGGAACAGCCATGCACGCCTGAGGCGGCGGCAGAACACCTGGGAGCGGCCGCGTAAGCCTGCAGCAGCAGTAGCAGAGCAGCCTGGGAGCAGCCGCACAAACCTGCGGCGGTGGAGAAGCAGCCAAGGAACGGCCACGGGCACAAGCGGCAGCGGCAGCAGAGAAGATAGGGAGTGGCCAAACGTGCATAAAGCAGCAGCAGAGCAGCCCGGGAGCAGCCATGCCAAAAGCAGCCGTCCAGAATCTCCTCTCAGTGCGCAGCCGCCCAGGCCATAGCCAAAGGCTGCCACCCGCATGCAGGTAGCCAAAACAGGCAGAAGAAACCTGGGAAAGGCATGAAGGAGTACCACTTTCACAGGAGAGCACACCTGGTGCACCTGCCACTCCCCGCAAGCTCTGGGATACACTGATGGCGACCCCACCCACAGCAGCTTAAGGGATTATTCTGAAGGCTGCTCCACGGGCACAGGTAACGGACAAAGGGACCAGAGAAGGGGAAGGCAACCAGCAAGCAGGAAAGGACATTGCTCTCCCAGCTGACACATGCACTACCTGCTTACAGCTACCTAACTCTATCGCCATGAAAAGGCAGAATAATTTGGTCCAGTCCAGAATTACCAAGAAAAACCTTGAGAGAGGGCCTGGGGAGATAGATTTAACCAATCTTACTGAAAAATAATTCAAAAT